GATACACCCGATCTAGAATCCAAAGTTGATCACGAATTTCCGGGTCAAAATGGGCTCTTATGATCCTAATAAGCCCTCCTAATATCCTAATATGATTTTAATTAAATGGATATTTTCCTTTTCCCAAATTGCCACAGAAGGTTTCCTCAAGCTTCCAACAAGGAGGGTTGCTAGGATGTTCAAGTCACTCCGGAGGGTTGTTAAGACACTTAGCCTACCTCGGAGGGTACCTTAATCACCCAAGTTACCTCGGAGGGTCCCCCTAAATTTACTAAGGAGGGTCAATAAGATGCTTAATATGCTCCGGAGGGTTACTTCGGAGGGTACCTCCAAAATTTTCAAATTTCTGAAACTCACTTAGAAGGGTCTTCAATTAACTTCAGGAAGCGTCAAAACAAGCTAAGTTCTCTACGGGGGGCTGTTTTAACTTCTTTGGGTGATCTCGTGGAATTTTTCCACTAAGGAGGGTTGCTAAGGGGTTTAGCCGACTCCGGAGGGTTACTTCGGAGGGTTCCCCAAAAATCACGAAAAAGGTTATGTTACCGCGATAAAGTCTCTAAAAGCGGTCCACCTGAGTTAAAATTAGGTTGGCTGACACGGTCAACTTTCCCAGTTGGATAAAAAGGTGTTTTGATAAAATTTTCTGCCGCTCGGAGGGTTACCTGTAATTTGGACCCTCCGAACCAACAAATTCTAAAAAAATTTTCTTTTCCGAGATTATCAACCCAAAAACGGTTGCGGTCCGGAAAAGTGGTCCAAAACGTCGACTTATGGTACCAAAATTATCCCGATCGGATGACTAGTCTTTGAGAAATTGCCAAAAACGTGTTTGTCCAAATGGCCTTTTTTCACCACCTATATAGGTTCTGAGAAACTTTTTCCGCAATTCCTAGCGAAAGTGCCTAAAAATGGTTGAAACGAGCGTAGTAGCCCTGTACGGCACTGGAATAGTGCAAAAAACTGGATCAAAATTGGTTTGGAGACAAAAATTTGGCCAATAACTATCAAATTTGGACCCTCCGGTTCCTTCCTTTTCCAATCCTTAAGTCGTTAGCTCTATTCAAGGAGCCAATCGGAGGGTTACTCAAGAATTTCTCTAGTAACCGAGCACGCTAGCACGCTCCTAACACAAAAATTTTATTGCTCTAAGTCTAAAAACTCAAAAACTCGATCCCCAAAACAGATTGACAAAATTCAGAAAATTATCGAAATTTTGACAGAAAAATTTTGGTTTTTTCCAACTTCTACTGAGTCTTTTCTCACGCGGGTTCTTTAGTTAGAGGGATCGAACTACGTAGCTACTCCCTATATAAAAGCTTTTTGTTGTTCGGAAAAGCTCGGATATCCAAAAATTTGGGGGTCTACAGTTTGATCGAAAATCGATGATTTTCGACAAAATTGGGTGTTTTTTTTTGGGTCTAATTGAGGAGATAAGTAATATGTAATAAGGATAATAACCTATTAGTGGTCGTTAATGAATAGTACGATACCCTCCTTTGCACCAAAATACCCGAATTAAGACCCTTAACTCGGAAATTTGTAATCGATGGAGGGTACAATCGGACCGCGCCAATCGTGCCCCCCACCACTTAAGTTTTAATGAAATAGTACCCAAACGATAGTAACATTGCTTCAACGATACCCAACAGTCGTTGCGGATGTTGTCCCTGATGTCCCTGTTGAGTGTGGAACACGTTGATCAGCTTGCCACTCTACCCTCCGGTCACCGGCAAAATCACCATTAACGTGCTTAAACACTCAAATTACACTCGAGGGAGGGTATCCAACCCTTCACCAAAACACACAATCTTTCTATCAGAAACGATATAAATCAATCTGAAACAACAACAAACAGGAAGTTCAGATCACATCTCGTCCGGAAATAACATATAAACTGTCACTTTATGTTTTTTACTGTTTTTGGTCTTTTTTGGATTTTTTTTACTGTTTTTTGTACTTTTTTGTTTTCAAATGAATTTATTTTTGTATTTTTCTTGGTAATACACTATTTTTGTTTGGTTTTACGCTTTCTCTTTAATTGTTTTTGGTCCTGGGACCTCAGGACAAGCGGGCTCTAGATTTCCCACCTAACCCTCCGGCCCCCGGAATTTTCGGTGTTAGCTAAGTTAAAAAGCTAAATAGCACTGGACGGAGGGTACGCACCTTCCCCTTAGTACAATAACGGTCATTAAGGCCTCTACCTCGGGCTTACGCCCGGAGCGGAGGGCTCGTCGCTGAAACGCTTACTGATCATGATGGTCTTATGCCTTTGACTAGCCCACCCAGGAGCGCCATAAAAACGTCTATGTAACATTCGCCCAAATACTACACAGTGACGGAGCGTAGAAAAAGTACCTATTAACGACTGGCAGGCGTCAGTTACCTTAATCCTACTCGCTTTTCACCGTCTCGACCTTGCCAGTTGATTTTCTGGTCTGTCTAGGGCAAAGTAAAAAGTTACCATTTTTAGGCCATCAGTCAAACGACTTTTGATCAGCTTTCGTTTACATGCGAACACAACCACATAGCTGAGTCTCGGATCCTCAGACTACGTGATTGTCATTAAAAACACGGCTCGAACAACCTATTTTAATATGTTTTTGTGTGACAGTTCTATATTAAATCCATTGGAGATGGATTGACCCTTTCCTCTTTCTAGCTACTCATATTCTAAAATATCAAGTTACACCGGTGTTAAATTAAAGTTTCACGACTTCCAAGTAGCTATATAGTCAGTTTTATACAGTCCCTTCACATAAAACAGTCTCTGGGGGACCAAGCCTCCGCTCCCGTGATATTCCTGCGATAACGCTCTTATCTCTCCTAATTTGCGTCCCGGGAGGGTTCCGTGGAATACTCCTTCCCCACTGAAGCTTCCTTCCCACTAGTATCCGCTGACAAGTGTCTTATCGTGCGTTGTTGCCACGATAAGAGGCTTCGTATTTTCCGTCTCTTGTACGACTGTTTTTCACAATATTTGTCGTTGTTCTTATTTTCTCAGCTTTTTTGGTCAAAATGGCCGTTTTTCGTATTTCTGAGAAATATCAACTTGAAAATCGAAATTTTAAAAATAGAAAATTTCAGAATACTTCGACCCTCCTTCCAAGCACTTTTTTTGCTGTTAAGGCCTTTTCTCTCTGATTCGTGCTTCGTCGGAAGGTTGCGCTGTGTCATCTGGCAGAATGGCACAAAAACAAGACAATGAAGCAAGGCAACTAATGATAATGTCGGCAGTTGTTGTCCAATTGTATCTATAGTTTTAATTCCTTGTGCCATTTTTTGGAGAATTGTTTTGATTTGAGCATAAAAAGATAAACTTGAATCAAGAATAAGGCCAAAATAATTAAGCTGCAAAGGGCTGCTAGCAGCCATTTAATCTCAGGGTGCCGCCGGCCCTAGAATGGGTCAGAAAGTTTAAATTAATTATTTTTTCAAAATTTAAAATTTCCAACGCTATAGTTCGGTGTTGTCAGGGTACTCTAAAGAGTTGCAAATCTTGCCACAAGCGACTGCTGAACGCGACTGCTCTAATGCTTTAAGTTTCCGATATCTGACGTTTTTTGTCTTTTTCAAAATTTCTCGAAGAACTTATCTACAAAGAAATTCAAAAAATTTGAAAATACTAACTTGATGAAGATACAACCTTATTGTCAGCTTACACCCAGGCGTCTCAAATCTTGCCTCTTAATATGAATGCTCAAATCTTTTTAGTTTCCGAGATAAGACGTTTTTTTTTTCAATTTTTGTTTTTCGGTAAACTTAGGTTTAAAAAAATTCGCAACATTTTGGAATTCCTAACCCTTTAATAGGGTGCTCTTAGTGGTTGCAAATCTGGCCTCCAAATTTCTCCAGAGGCCCATTAAGTTTTCGAGATGACGCTTTTAAAATGGGAATTAAAAAAATGTAAATGTTCGAAATTACCAACCCTGTAATTGGGTGCAGTCAGAGTTCACTAAAAGTTTGCAGATGTTGTTTCCAATATATGCGGTTTTTCATGAGCTGTCGTAAAATTTCGAAGCACCGAAGGTGCGCTAAACGCTAGTTTGTTTTAAAAATATTGCTGAATAATCTAAATGTGATAAAACAAGACAATGAAGCAAGGCAACTAATGATAATGTCGGCAGTTGTTGTCCAATTGTATCTAAACTTGAATCAAGAATAAGGCCTAAATAATTAAGCTGCAAAGGGCTGCTAGCAGCCATTTAATCTCAGGGTGCCGCCGGCCCTAGAATGGGATTGTTCTAACTAACCTCTTTGAGAATTTGAGCGCAAGTACCGAGGAATTCAGGGCAGGAAGTTTTTCTTGATCTGATAAACTCGATCGGATAAACTCAATCAAACTCAAAAGACAATAAAGGTTGCGAACGCTGCCGGTTTACTCGGGACTATTGATGATGAAAGGAAAATTATTTGAAAAAAAATTGATTTATTTATTCAATTCATGCATATTTTCTTCATTTTCTTGGTATTATTGACGATTATATACAAGTTAATATTTTTCTGTTTTTCTGCTCTTGGACCCATCATTCTGCTCTTAGACTATTTTTTTTAGTTCCTTCAAATTTGGTTTTTCTGCACAGGTGTTCGTTTTCTCACTATATTGGCTTGATTCCCAATCATCTGACTCTAGTTACATTCCTTTGTTATACTTACTTCTCCCTAATGTTTGAAATTCCAAGTTTTTTACTTGGAGTAAGGATGATGAACTAGTGAAGTAACTTCGGTTACCAAATTAATTTCTGACCTGCTGATTTGAAAATATTTGAAAAAAAAATTAAAAAAGAACCAAAAACCAACTGCTTTTTACTACAATTTTTTTTTCATCGTTTGTAGTAACAACATCGTTTGTAGTCTTAGAAAAACACAGAGGTATTCTGAGTTCAGCTTATGTTTTCTTTTATTTCCATCATTTGAAATAGTCCACGAAAACCTTCCAAAAATATGAATTTCTCACGTCAAAGGATCAGAATTAATATATTTAGACCTGTGATTTCAGATGAGGCAATTGTGTTGACTGAGTTTGAAGTCTAAAGCCTTGTTATGGACGCAAGGATAGTTTGCATGTTTTTAGTGGCTGTTTCAATTTATAAAATAAGCTCCAATACAGAAGTTCTGCTGAAAAAATGCCGGAAGAATATCAGCGACGTAAGATAAAAGTTATCAATGTGCAAGATATATTTTTTTTAACTTTCTCAATGTTTTTCTCTGATTTTCGTTGTCCACTCTCAGAAGAAGCAGAAAGAACACTTAATTACCGGATGAAAGTCTGAGTATTAATACAGTGAAATGTAATAAAGATTAGTTCAAAATTTCAGATTAATTGCGTAAATAGTATATAGTAAAATGAAATAAACAAATAAGTAAATTGCGATGAAATTACTATTGAAAAAAATCAGATTAAGACTTAACAACATGAATAAAAAAGAATTGTACATAAATTTGAGTAAATTAAATCTTAACTACATCGATAAAATAAACTGGTGATATATAGAAATCTTTCAATGGAAATGGATTTGACGCCATGTTTTTTTTTTGCGTACGTACTAGATTAGATTGCATTCCACTAGTGTAGAATATTTTCATTTTTTTCTTTATTGTTGAATTAGTGGTGTCGAGTTTTCTTATTTTTACTGGCAATGACTTCCATTTTTTTTGAAGCGAGGTGAAAAAATGATTTTAGTATACAAGCAGTTAAACAGTGATTATCAAAAAGTATTTCTGTGCGATTATTAATTTTGTAATTGGCTGTCGGTTATTTAATTGCATTTGTAAACGCTTTCTTCTTATTGATAAGACATTGATATAGATAAGTTACACATTTCAATTTAGTTCCGATAAAAGATTTGCTTTTACGCAGTGCGGTGGATGATTTCTGTTTGGGTCTGAAAAACGTGCGTCATTGAAGTTGCATTGATTTGCGGCAGAAAAATAGCTACATAATCTAGATTGGATAAAACTCAACAGTGAAGTAAGGCAACCAAAGATATTGCGGGCAGTTGTTGTCCAATTGTATCCTTCCTAAAATGGCTACTCAAACACACTGCCTTATTTGTAAAAGCAGCCTGCGAGGCGGAGGTGTTTGGTGCTTCACATGCCCAGGCTGCATGCATGTAAAATGCAGCGGCCTAGCCCGCAGCAGTGATCACTATGACGATTTCAATTGTCATCGCTGCACCTCCCAATTTCATTCAGCTAACGACAAGCATGAATGCAATCCCCCAACCCTAGCTACAACCACGCTCCCCCAAATGCACCCTCACCCTTCACCTGCCCCACACTCACAAAACTCAGGAGAGTCTTCCACTATAGAACCCAGAACAATACAAGACCCATGGTCAAACCCCTGTCCAGAACTCATAGAAACCACCAGGAAAATATACACCGAAGTGGTCCACTGGAAACCGGTCTTTATGATCTTGTCAAAAAATAAAGTTGGTTATAACTTATTGAAACCCTCAATAGAACTTTGAACAGCCTAATAGAAAACAACGAAAATACCTTCGCAATGCACGCAGCAATGATTTTTCCACACTTATTACTGTGCAAAACAAAGTCCGAAATTGATGGATCTTTATCCAAAACAATAGCAAATCGACTTAAGTAATGGCAAGACGGAGACCTGGATGGACTATATAACGAAGGAAAGGCGCTGCAAATGCGCTTGTTGAAAGGAAGTAGAAGAAAAACTGAAACTGAAGCACAACAGTTCAACAAACTAATGAATACTGGAAAAATATCAAGCGCAATTGCAAAACTAACAGACACATCTAAAGGGGTTCTTTCGCTCGACGAGATTGTCAAAGGTAAGACAGTTGAACAGATTCTCGTAGAGAAACACCCACCATCTGAACCAATTAATGAGAACTATATTACACCAGTCTCAAACGAAGCAATTCCTTTCCATCCATCGATAATTGATCAGATAAATGGTCAACATATCAAGAAGGCAGCCATGAGAACTCACGGATCGCATGGACCATCTGGCCTCGATGCGAATGAATGGAGACGTATTCTAACGCACTTCGGGCAACAATCAGTTGAAATTTCAAAAACAATTGCTAAAATTGCCAAAAAATTGGCCACAGAAGAACTAAATCCAGAACTAATGGAACCATATAACGCATGCAGATTAATACCCTTAGATAAGAATCCAGGGGTAAGACCCATAGGCATAGGAGAAGTTATGCGTAGGATAATAGGGCGAACAATAACTAAATGCTTAAAAAACGAACTCATGTCGCTCGGTTCAAACTACCAACTCTGCCTAGGACAAAAATGTGGCATTGAATATGCGATCCACACGCTAAGAGATCAATACAGCAAAACTTCCGCCGATGCTGTTTTACTGATAGATGCCGAAAACGCTTTCAACTCGCTGAACCGAAAGCTGGCATTAAAAAACACCGAAAATACCTGCCCTTCCCTTTTAACAGCGATTAAGAACTCGTACTCCAATCCATCTAAACTATTCGTTAACAAAAAAAAAATCTACTCTCAAGAAGGGACAACCCAGGGGGATCCACTAGCAATGGCCATGTACGGTCTAGCCATAATACCCCTCATAAAACTTTTATCAGTAGACGATGTAACCCAGAAATGGTACGCAGACGACGGAAACGCAGTCGGTAAATTAAGCAATCTACGAACCGTCCTCGACAAAATTGTATCACTGGGTAAATTTTTCGGCTACCACGTGAAAGCATCCAAATGCCAACTCATTGTCAAAGATGAAAAACTCGGTGAAGCTCAGAAAATCTTCGCAAATACAGGAATCACTATAAAGGCAAGAGCCCGAGTGCTTGGTTCAGTTATAGGAACAGAATCTGAATGTAAAAAGTTCCTCGAATTTCAACAGAATGAGCAAATCAAAATTTTGAATAAACTAACGAAAATTGCTAAAACCTCCCCTCAAAACGTTTATGCCTGCTATACTAAAGGAGTTCAAGAAAAGCTTTCATTTCTTGCCAGGACAACGCCTAACACCATGGAAAACTTAGAAATATGTGAAAATATTATCAAAGAACAATTATTACCTAACCTAGTCGGTAAAGACACTTTAAACCCCCAGTTCCGTGAGATATCTTCCTTACCCCTTAAAATGGGCGGACTTAACATCAAGCTGCCATCCGAAAGCTACCTAGAATGGTCTAAGGAAACATCACTGGTACTGGAATCTCAAAATCCTATTACAGCAGTAACACAGCAAGAAAAAATATGTACGAAAATCAAAAAATTGAAAACTGATAGAACAAATCGAAAAAAAGCAAACCTCATTAACTCCTTAAATGAAACAGATAAATACGCAATCGACCTGGCCTCTGAAAAGGGAGCCTCTAACTGGCTCACTGCCCTACCACTGAGCAGATACAACTTCAACCTGAATAAATCAGAGTTCAGAGATGGTATTTACTTAAGATACGGATGGGAACCAACCAAAACCCCACTCACATGTGCATGTGGTGCTGATTTTAACTTGACACATGCGCTTCATTGTGCAAAGCGTGGTTACACACACATAAGACACAATGAAATCAGAGACAAATTCGCCAACCTCTTGAACGAGGTTTGCCATGACGTCGAGATTGAGCCGAAACTTCAGCCGTTGCAAGGCGAAAGCTTTGTCAACAATTCAACTACAACTGAAGATGAGGCACGACTTTACATTAAGGCAAACGGACTCTGGGGTTCACGATTCAGGCGCGCTTTCTTTGATGTGAAAATTTTCAACCCCCATGCCAAAACATCGCGAAAACTGCATAAGGATGCATACAAATACCACGAAACGCTGAAGAACTCCAAATATCAGCAAAGAATTTTAAACGTAGAGCAGAGTAGCTTCTGCCCACTAATTTTTGGATGCACCGGTGGCGCTGCTCCAACAGCCACGCGGACGATGCAGCCATTGGCCGAAAAACTAAGTGAAAAAAGACAAGAAAGCTATCCAGAATCTATAAACTACATAAGAACTAAAATAAGCTTCGCGCTCCTGAGGAGCTCTATACTTTGTATAAGGGGGTGCAGATCGCTACGCAAAGTTCAATTTATCGACAACTCCATAAGCGCCATTGTAGAGGAAGGACGGCTAAGATAAATTAACATTATGACGATGCATTTAATGCTGATTTATGACTTCATTGCTGATATATATGCATTTTTATATCGCTGGTATGGCCCTATCCAGCTTGTGCACTTACCGTTACTAAACGGAAGGGCCCCTTTTGTATTGTATCTATGGTCTTAATTCCTTGAAAATCTAGAATCAAACCTAAGTATTTGCATTCAGATTTTTTCTCTACATAATAATCATTGATAACAAGGCGGTCTGATTCCACATTCTGTTTATCATTTTTTTGGACAAAAAGCTATAAATTTCCATTTTGATGCATTCAGATTTAACTGATTCTCAGAAAAAAGAAGTAAGCTCGTGTAAAGATTTTTGTAATTGACTCGGAGCATTCTTTTAAGATATAATTGACGCATACACCATGCAATCGTCTGCATACTGTACCAAAGTACATCCATCGCAGATACAATTTTGATTATCCAGTCCAAAAAAAATCCATTCTCTCTGACTCTTTGAAAATTCTTAAGACATTCAAATAATGTTTTAGCTTTTGTTGAAAAGCCAAGATAGCGTAAATTTCATTCTCATTGACTCTTTGAAAATTCTTAAAACATTCAAATAATGTTTTAGCTTTTGTTGAAAAGCCAAGATAGCGTAAGAAACTAGAATAATATGAGAAATAAAGTCGAAATATTTCGAGAGATCTAATAAAGCCGCATAAACATTTTTTTGGAATCGATATCTTTTTGACTACTTTCAGTTACGTACAGAAGCGCATCTTGTCTGGAACAATTTTTGCCCAAACCAAATTGTAAAGGAGTCATAATTTGATCTTTTTCTGTTCTTTGGACATGGAAAGTTTTCTCAAAAAGGTTGAGGATGCATTGGGTCATCCTTTTTGAATAATGGAGTTATGTTTTTTTTCTTTTCAGTGGGAAAAACATCCTTATCTATGCAGGCATTAATAACAAACGTTAAAGTGTGGCACAATTTTGATTGACCATCAATTTTTGCCCAAGAAGGAACAGTACAAGGTGTTAGAGGTTTTTATGTATTTTGTTCTCGCAGTATATCATAACATTGCTTCAATGTTGTGCTGAAAATTACAGATTGGTAATTCAGAAATTCCTGGATTAAATAACCGAGGCTTAGCAGAGCTACAACATTCCCATAAATTTTAAAAACCGCGTTGAAGTACTTGGTTATTTTAAAGTCCTGTGTGATCATTTCATTGAATGAACTACGCAGAGCAGTAATTCTGGAATTTATGGAACCGGATCCTCGAATTTGATAAATCTCATTTTTTGCTGGATTGTGCTGAGAAAAAAAAACGCATAAGTGCGAATGTTTTTCTTGTTTATCTTTAACCACTTGGGCTAACTGGTCACGACAAAGACGATATTTTTGCCAATTTTCTTTCGAATTTTCATTTCGGGAAACTAGAAGTGATTTTTGTTTCATTTTCAGTGTTTCTTTGCGTTCTGAATCGAACCAATCCGTTTCAGCTCGTGTTTTGCTTTAAATTTACGATTAAGTTTCTTTTCGATTGGGGCATGTTGCTGAAGAGCATAAGATACTCAATTTAACAGCATTGAAAACATGTTTTGTGCGTCTGTACTTTGATTTAATTGAAATCAAGGAAGATTGGATAGAGTTAGGCAAAATTCTACTTTTCGGTATTTATTGTTATTGAAATTAAAGATAATTTTTGACGTGTTTTTTCATAATTAATGCTGGTCAGAATAAGTGAAGAAAAATTATCTGTTTTGGTAGGCGTGTCAAAGCAAAATTCATTTCCGTTTGTTTCAAAATCACCAATTAGCTAATCAATATGAGTTTTTGGCAAAGCACTGACTTGTGTTGCATCATTTGGACAAAAAACTTTCAATCGATATGGAAGAATGATGGATTCAATTTTTTTTCTCAGATTTATTCAATTAATTTATGATATAATTGCCCATTTAAGTTATTTGGTTAGAGACTAAATGCATTGTCAATGTTCAGAGTACTCTATTGAAGAATTTTATAACGTTAATTCAAACGTTTTCGTAAATTATGCGCATCATCAGGATTAAAATTTTTTACAATATTTACAAATTGATCTAAGATCTGGAAAAAGTGACAAACATGTCTTTTAATGTGCAAAACGTGTGGAATCTATTCTACTGTGCCAGTTTAACAATTTAACGGTATTTTGTATAATAAAAAACAGTTCTATCTATTTTGATTAGCCTAGTATTGTCGTTTAATGCATTCATTAAAATCATCAGTAACTCAACCATTCACCGAATATTGTGTATTTAGATTTGCGCAACTGCTCCTACGGACAAGTACTGTTGTGTGATGGATGGCGAGAAATGCTGTTCAGAAAGCCAATACAATGAAGATAAGAAAAAGCTTGTCGATAAGATTATCGAATTGGAAAAGAAAAGTCAACAGGGGGGGTCAAGTCACAATGAAGAAAAGTACATTGACTCCAATTCTGGCAGCAGATGGAAGCGGAGTATGATCATATGTTTCTCTGCTATCGTTCTAAGCTGCTTAGCATGCTGTGTGGTTGATTTTCTGTGGAATCTTTGTAGCCGTTTTTCAAAAACCCTGACGCCCACCCGTTTTAAAAAGAACAACCATGAATCCAGGCTTCCTCAGCCTGCGCGGCGGAAATCGTTTCTTTGCTTTGCAGCTCGCAATAAACAAAGATCGCCAAGTGCTGACAGCGAAGATATGGGAGATAGTCTGGAAGGTAGTATAAAGCTAAATTCATCTGCTAATGTGATGGTTCCTAGTAAACAATCGCCAATGACAGAGTCCAGAGCTTCAACCCCTGAAGCTTATCAGGACCAAGCGAAAGCTCTCACACGTACAAGAAGAGAGTTGCAGTTTTTGAAAGCAAAGGTTGAGTCTGATTGCACGAAAGATATGCGTCGATTGGAGATATCAGTTCTACCTTGCCCCAATCAAGGAACTCAATCTGCTGACAACTTGTCGCCTTCGAAAAAGCCAAGTAATTGTGTAGAGGTAGAACCGACTGGATGTAGTCGTAACTGCCACTCATTGCGAAACTCTCCAGTTTTCCTCAGATCTAAATCACATCCGACTAATGCAGTTAAATTCTCCACTGCCACACGTAGTAGTGGAGCTATTCCCAAAAGCTCGAGCTTGAAATTCGCTACAATGCATTCAATGTCCAGTCGTGACCAGGATTCGAGCTTCGTTCAGAGGGAAATTGACCACTATCTTCAGTCGGAGTCATCAAGCGGGAATATCAATCGAAGTTATCACACTGCATCAGCGAATAAGACACCCTATTTGACAACGACCGCGGAGTTTTTCGAGGCAGACTGCTGAACTTAAAACTATTTTAGCTAAATTCTACCTTAACTTTTTGCCATTCGTTATTTGTTCTAAAAATTCGAAAACTTATTGATAGTTTGTGTTTGATATTGTGTTTATTCATGTATTCGATACTGGATAGTGTTGTGCTTTTGTATTGTCCTTTGTTTTATATTGATTTTGTAAGCTTTTTTTGTGTTAGTCCTCTCGAATCTGGGTAACTATTGCCCCCCCCCCCCCCTATTTGGATTTTCAGAAATTCAACTTTGGCTGTCACATTTTCAATAGCTTAAGACAATTTTCAGAAAATATATTTAATTAAAATTTTTTATGTAGATACTATAGAAATAGTAGCTAATACAAATACGAACGCGCGAAAAAATAACCAAATTAATTTTTGAATTTTTTGAAATGCATATTTTATACATAATTGTATGTCAAAATTAATAATGCATAGGGGGGAAATAGTGAAATAGTTAACAAGGTCCAAAAAGGGGGGATAGTTAACAAGATCCGTCCTCTCAAATACAAATATTGTTCCCTTTGATTTTTGAGACTTTCAAGGACTCCCCCTTTCTTAAGCCTTTCGAATTGTTCATAAGTTCACTATGCAAGCGGGTTTTGACTTTTTCACTAAAAAAAAAGTAGTTTGAGTTATGGTAAATGTGCTCTATTTTGGTGGTTTTGCAGTCTGATTTACCATTAAGTGTCAAGAAACGAAGTGTAGACGATTACTTCGGTCTTGCGGTTTTTTTTCAGGTAAAGGATTTTAAAATAGGTTCAAATTCAATCAATCATCCGTCGAATTTTGTATAGAGTTAACACAACTGCAAAATTCGAGTTCAGTTTAAAAAATCACAATTGCTAAAGGGTTTAAAAAGATCGAAATTTTCCTTTCACATTGGTTGCAATTTTGCCAGCAATTGTGATTTTAGTGCGTCGTTAGGTCTGAAAAAAACTTTTGTTTGTGTGTGTGCGCTGACGGGAAAAGGGACTTTACATTTTTCATAAGTTAAGAAATTTTTTTCGGCATGAAAGGTTTCAGCTCAGGTTTTTCGGATTTGTTGCCGCTCGGTAACTATAAATTCAAATCCAATCAACCATCTGGCGAAGAGGTAAAACAACAGCTTGAGATGGCAAAGATTTGCAATTCGAATCCGCTCGGGGCTTTTTTGCAAACTTGAGTTTTAGTGCTTTTTCCTACTATCGTCTATCTGTTTATAATAGTCGGCTTAGTTTTCGTAGCTCGATGGTTCAGCTTTATTTCAAGTTGCTTATAATACCCATGCTTGAGGTGACAAAGCCCGGGAGTTTGATTTCAGTTGAAACCTGTTTCTCTTGCATATAGAACGTTTTGGCTAATTCAGATTATTGTGTCTGCTTGTTTTTGACGGCTTAGTTCCGCAGAAAGGACTTTTTCTGAAAATTTGGCTTCTGGATAGCATTCACAATGCTTTTTATAGAGATTTTAGTGAGCAGGTAATTTTGTTCCCAATTTTTTGGGCTTTTGTTGCATTTTTTTTCCGTTTGATTTTCATAGTCATTCAGCTTTCTTCCAAATTGCTGTTTAACCCATGAATGTGACGACAAAGCCTGGGAGTTTGATTCTGGTCGAGAATTAATTTTTTGCAAACTGAAATTTTTCCGCTAGCTTAGATTTTAGTCTGTCTGCTTAGTTTTGTCAGCTTAATTTCACAGAATTTTTCTTTCGAAATTCGTTTTTTTTCTAGCATTCCTAAAGTTCCTTGAAAGATTCGATTATTGTATGTAGTTTTCTTCCGGATATTTTGCGCTTGCGTAGCAATTTTTACACTAGCGTCAGCTTAGTGTCTTATTACGAACCTTCTTTTTTTTCTAATCTAAGTCGCAGATATTGGTGCCACTTTTGGGGTACCTTTACAGCTTTTTGATAGAATGTGCTTTGACTTTGGAATAGTTATAAGTAAACACAGTTGATACTTTTTTAGGTTATCAAATGAACCGAAAAACTTTGCTTCACACAATAAAAACTCGATATCCAACTCGATATATTTTTCAATTTTTCCAACTCGATATATTTTTCAATTTTTTGAAATGCATAATTTATACAATGTGGATTTATGCTTTAAGATTGTTACATGCAAAATTAGTGTGGATGCCTTCAGTTTGTTAAATTCCAATTTTATTATTTGCAAGATATTGTCTATTTGTATTTGGTGCCAATTTTGCTGAATGGCATTGGCATTTTATTAGCTTGTAGCTGCTTTGTTCGTGACTAGTCTTTGTCGGTGGTTAAGCGTGCGTGGTTGAGTGGTTAGTGCGCGAGACTCAAAATCATTTGATTGCAGTAAGCGGTAGATCGAATCCTAGACATAGCCGAGTTTTGCCTAATTCGAGGCTTATTTCTGTTTTTTCTTGTTGCCCTTTCTAAAGCTGCTTTTTGTCGTGTTTTCGCTAGTATTCGCGAAGCAAAGCTTCGCCTCTGTGTTAACATTTTCCTTTACAAGAACTGTTAAAGAGCAAAACCGCAACAGATCATACGAAAATTATCACGATAATGGAAACATTATGGTTGCCCGGCTCATTTTCAAAAACAAGAATAGTAATTTGCAATTTGATTGAGTGATAGTTATTATTTGGGCTTGGACGACCTTTTACATGTTGCAATTTGTTAAATCATCAGGCAACGACCAATTTTTACTCAATTTTTGTTAACCATTACGAGGCCAAACTGTGCACTGGATAGGAGCACAATTTTGTGTCTGTATGTTCCTGGTTTCCAGAGAACAAGTCTTAAAATATGTTCCAAAATGTAAGTGGATTCCACAAACAAAATTTAAGTGGATTCCGCATACATATAACTATATGCCTGTAACGTAATTTTGTCGGCACATTTGTTTTGTTGCGGATTCCAAAACAGCAAAGAAGATCAAAGAAAAGTAGCAATGTTGAGGATTCCGCGACAAATCTGATTTTGGCCTGTTGCGGATTCCGCTTACAATGCAGAGAATGCACAGTTTGGCCTCGTAATGACTACAATGAGTTGATACGTTCAAACTGGGACAAATGAAGCTCCACTCACCTAAACGAATACATGGAGTAAAAATCAAAATAAACGTGCATCGCGCAAAGAAATCAAACGCATCACGGGTAATAGTTAGTTAAATAATCATCGCTGAATCAATGAAAGCCTATTTTATAAGCATAGGCAGGGGCGGATCTAGGATTTTCATGAGGGGAGGAGGCGGAATTTCAAAAAATTTTCGAAAACTTGGTCGACTTTTTTTTAGGTCGACCGAATTGAATTTTCGAGGTCTCCTTATGCACAGTTTAGTCCCTGTTTTAACCAAATTTTCAACTTTGCAAAAACAGTCTGAAAAAGGCGTTTTTAGGCACTTTCCGGAAAATTTTGACCAAAAAATTGCGTTTTTTCGGCGCGCGTTCCCCCCTCAATATTAGTATATATTGGCGCCAAAGGCGCTTTTAGAAAAATTTTAGCACTTCTTAAGCTCAATTCTTACTGTGTTTTTTTGATATATTGATTTTTTTTGTTTAAGCTCAAGAAGGTATGAAAACTTGAAATTAGGTTTTCGTTTTGTATTAAGCGTTAAAAGCTTCTAAATTGAAAAACTTTTTTTTGGTATCATCTAATTCGCAATCAAGATTCAATCAAATAACCCAAACTCAATTAGATGATACCAAACTTACCTGTTTCCGAAAGTCTAACTTTTTTCTTAAATTTTTGCTGTAGTTTCTGAAGCTGTTGAAACATATATTTATTTTTTTCGTTCTTTCCTCATTTTATTTTTTGAACGGAATTTCTGGTACCAAAGGCAGGTATGCGAAGCTGGGAAGCTTTATACTCTGACAAATTGACGCAGATTTCTAGAGTAAGTCTCATTTATTCTTTATTCAGCGATGTTCATCGATTAAGCAGCTCTGAATTTTTTTGATTTGAAGAAAGTAAGTGATTAAATTTCGTCAGTGATTCCGAGGGACATGTCTTAAGAGCAAAATTTTATTTTCTGCGGTGGCCATTCAGAAGTTACTATCAGTTTTCCGCCACGTTCTATTCAATTTTATGTTATTCATGTTACTGATTCGTCAATAAAAGGAAATGCCCGATCAACCCAGGTGGAGCTAAAAAGTATCATCTCGAAATAAGTAAATCAAATTTATGAAATGGAAGAAGGGAGCTCAAAAGTCAATCAAATTTAAAATGACGTCTTTTTTTCAGGTCAACCCGATACAACCCGAGTTACGCATTTCAGGTATTAATAAAACGGCAGAAAGCAACCAAGTTAAATTTTACGTTAAAAAATTATAATGCAAAAAACTGAAAATAGAAACTAAATATTGTGAAAATATTCATCTGTAGTGTCAACTCAATTTCAAGCAATGGTTTTTTACTAAAACCTAATGAGAAAATGGGAAATTAAACATTCAGAAAAGGCGATCAAATTATTCAGAGGACCAAATTATTCAGAGGATAATGTTCTGTGTTCAAAATAAAAACCCTGGTTTGACAAAAAAAAAGTGCGCAAACTATCTATTGCGCGAGCTTGGATTTTAGATTATACTTCATGCGTCTTTTTCCGAGAGCATTATGTTTTCATAAAAAATTTCTTGTACTTTCTGAAGCTGTTTTCTAAGTTTTTCAATTTTTCTTTTTTGTGTTTCATGTAAGTTTCTTGTATGGAACTGCGAGAACAAAAGGCAAATGTGCGACGCTCAAAAAATTTTTTTCGGACAAACCAAAAAATTTTTTAAACTAACGTGATATGTTTTTTATCATGATTTTTGTTTGTAGCGTAATTTTTTCGGTGATCTAAAGGACATGCTACCTGGATGAAATCACATTTTATTTTTCGTCTATCGATATTTCAGCGATGTATAAGCTTAGAAACAATACCATCATTTTTCAGTAGGCTCTTGTGCATACCTTGAAACTAAAACCCAAAGCAAACATTGCAAATATGCCAGATCATATGAGAAAAAAAAGAACCTAACCAAAAAATAACACTTGGGGAAACAATTGGCGAAATTTTGGTCGCGGACGAAACCATCCCAACAATGGTACTATGAAGAAGCAAGAACATAAAAGAAACTCATTCATCAAAATAGATATCAACCACTATCACGGGATAACGCTGCTCTTCACGATTTAAAATGATTTCATTGGAATGCCGTACAACC